TATCTCCTAGGTTGAGATCTATTAATGGCTTGCTGCCATGGTTGTAATATTTCGTTTGTTTTTCTTTTGTTTGTCAACAATTTCTTGACTTGATGGGTTAATTTTGGCTTCAATAGTTTTGTTGCCGTAGGGAGAAGCGTTTTGTTCACATAGCCTACTATATATGGACGTGGATAAATAGTCCAGTTTAGTTTACATATCAGTGGCTTAATTATCCTCTACCAAAAGCATAGTAAATAAAACAACATTACAACACCGAAACAAATTTATAAATGTTAAAGAAAGGTAATCACGTTGCTGAAACAGTTTATCGTTCTCTTAGTGGATTAAAGTCATCTCCGATTCGTTAGGAATGAAATGAGTAATTTAGAGCAAAATCTTCAGCGTCGTTCTCGCTGACGAAACCGCGCTAAAAGAAAAGCAATGATGCGCATGCGTATTAATTTTATATTGCAGTACCCAGCCATTGTACCCAGCATGCTCGCTCTGCAATCTTCATAAACGTTGTGAATATCAGTGGGACTAGTGTAGAAGATTCTGCCAGAACGTAACATCATGCAGCTGAGGAAAATATCTCAGTTTTAAAGAAGAAGGATTTGTCAATCACTTTCAAAATACAAATTCTTATTAAACGTCTAGCAAAATTGTCGTGTGCTTACAAAGGCCAAGAGAATCGATACAATACTTGCATATTCAACCAATTCAAGTTAGATCATTGATGTCAGGTTCTCTAAAAGATCACGTTTTAAATAAGGCATGAACGTACATACATAAAGAAAAACACATGTTGTAGACTAGTGAGAAATTAACCATTTTAAAAAATATACAACAACTGAAATCATTTCAACTAATATCTTCTAACGTATATTTTATAAATGCCACGTTTGTGTTTTACGTTTCCTTTGAAAATAAAGCATGAATTAATTATCAATTTCAATAGGTTGCTGAAACTAAAAATAAGCACATCAACACAAGCTACTTTTAGAAATGGATAATTTCGTTCAATTTGAGAGGTAGAAGTTTATAGCTACATACCTTGATGGTTGCTATGTTTCAAGTGATGTTTAGTTTTTAGTTCTCAAGTTTTAGTCCAGCTTTTCATCATCCTTATTTATGTCTATTTAAATTCATGTTTTTGCCTGAGTATAAACACAGAGAGATTGACAGCAGGATTACATGAGCATGCTGGCGATATGAACTGTAAATAAACATTTTTCTCATTTTGAACCACGTTCAAAAAAATGTCCTTACATTCATTATTTTAAAGTAGAAGTTTCAAAATTCATGTTGATAACGTTAATATGTACGTAATTGCATGTGTTGTTCATTATGACACAACAATTTCCTTCAATGTGTGTGCAAAGTTGATATTCACAATAAAATTGCTGTTCGAGATAATAGAGTTATATTTATATGATTTTTATACTGGAGACAGCTGGGGGGAATTATTGCAAGTTTGGCTCAATATAGCTGCAACATAAATTGTTTTAAGAATGGTCAACGGCGAAATACAGCTTGTAATCAATTTTACTGCATCAAAAGTATGTACAAAAAATATAGCTATATTTGAAAATGATCCGTATCAAGTGCCACGTTTTAAAGGTTTCTTTGTAAGTCGTGCATATTTTCAATTACTTAATTCAATTGAGTGCTTAGACAGAATATCAAAAGAAGGATACATATCACTTGTAGACAGGAATACAGTTGGGTTGAGTTTTAGGCATAAAAATTTATATAATTTGTAAATTTGTTATGTTTCATACAACAAAATATCAAATAAGTAAACAACAGGATGTGTAATCAACTCATTCATAATCTCCACTCTATTGATAAAAGTATGAGCTGTAACGATGCCTTCAATTAAGAAGGCGCTAGAATTTTCGCCCCAATACAGTACATCCGGTCAAAAGGCCCGATAATTTATATCGTTACATCTATCTCCTCGTAAGGAACAAAACAAGGTTATAATTTGAAGGACCTAAGAGTAGTTTTCATAAAAATTGGTAATTACATGTAGAACGTTCTTCATAATGTACGTCCTATAGAAGATTTTCTTTTCACTGAGGGGTTTGATGTGTCGGTGTCTGGTGGTGCCTGATTGGTTTCTATACTGACATTTGTGGACGTGTCTTGCGTAGAGAACTTAACAGCAACGATTGCTCATCTGGGTCTTCGGACTCAGATTGTTCATTTTCTTCCTCAGTACAATCTGTATAAATCTTTCCCTTTCTTTAGTAAACGTCAGATGTCTTCTGTTCCGTCTGCATATTTAGCCTTCCGAAATAACTTGGTATGACGTGGGTGCAAACGTCTGGTTACACACTTCTTTCCTTCATGTCCTGCACGTCTGGTCTGGTCGTATAAGAACTGTATCTCCTAGGTTGAGATCTATTAATGGCTTGCTGCCATGGTTGTAATATTTCGTTTGTTTTTTCTTTTGTTTGTCAACAATTGCTTGACTTGATGGGTTAATTTTGGCTTCAATAGTTTTGTTGCCGTAGGGAGAAGCGTTTTTGTTCACATAGCCTACTATATATGGACGTGGATAAATAGTCCAGTTTAGTTTACATATCAGTGGCTTAATTATCCTCTACCAAAAGCATAGTAAATAAAACAACATTACAACACCGAATCAAATTTATAAATGTTAAAGAAAGGTAATCATGTTGCTGAAACAGTTTATCGTTCTCTTAGTGGATTAAAGTCATCTCCGATTCGTTAGGAATGAAATGAGTAATTTAGAGCAAAAATCTTCAGCGTCGTTCTGGCTGACGAAACCGCGCTAAAAAGAAAAGCAATGATGCGCATGCGTATTAATTTTATATTGCAATACCCAGCCATTGTACCCAGCATGCTCGATCTGCAATCATCATAAACGTTGTGAATATCAGTGGGACTAGTGTAGAAGATTCTGCAAGAACGTAACATCATGCAGCTGAGGAAAATATCTCAGTTTTAAAGAAGAAGGATTTTTCAATCACTTTCAAAATACAAATTCTTATTAAACGTCTAGCAAAATTGTCGTGTGGCTTACAAAGGCCAAGAGAATCGATACAATACTTGCATATTCAACCAATTCAAGTTAGATCATTGATGTCAGGTTCTCTAAAAGATCACGTTTTAAATAAGGCATGAACGTACATACATAAAGAAAAACACATGATGTAGACTAGTGAGAAATTGACCATTTTAAAAAATATACAACAACTGAAATCATTTCAACTAATATCTTCTAACGTATATATTTATAAATGCCACGTTTGTATTTTTACGTTTCCTTTGAAAATAAAGCATGAATTAATTATCAATTTCAATAGCTTGCTTTTCAATAAATTGTTTTAAGAATGGTAAACGGCGAAATACAGCTGTAATAAATTTTACTGCATCAAAAATATGTACACAAAATATAGCTATATTTGAAAATGATCCGTATCGAGTGCCACGTTTTAAAGGTTTCTTTGTAAGTCGTGTATGAATAAATTACTTAATTCAATTGAGTGCTGAGACTGAATGTGAAAACAAGAATACATATCACTTGTAGACAGGAATACAGTTGGGTTGAATTTTATGCATAGAAATTTATATAATTTGTAAATTTGTTATGTTTATACAACAAAATATGAAATAAGTAAACAACAGGATGTGTAATCAACTACAAATTTGACACATACAATGCAATATTTTCAGTTTAAATTTGTAGACAAACTGTTGTGTCTGTTGTTCCTTATAAATAGTAAAATTGATTTTCATACTAAAGACAACAGAAATTTTTCGTGCTAGTTGATTTACATCAAGGTTTGACTATATACAATAAAATGGTGGCGCAAAATTCGTCATTTAAACTTCGCATAGTCAAGCAGAACTTGTAATAGTGCAAATTCATTGGACGAAACTTCGAGCATAAAAAGACTACTGTCTAAATCTCAAATAATTAAACTCTTTTATTATCAGCTGAAACCATCCTATTCTTCATGAATACTTAACATGAAATTACGTGCATGCATCATCGATAGTTGGCAATAAATTATTGAAATACAGTCGACCCAATACATAAATAGAGCTTTCATGATCTTGTCCTCACTCCAAGCTTGTGGATATCAATCACATATCACAAAATGGCGAAATATATTTTGCGTTGGTCGTAATTTTTTATATTGGTGTTATTATTGAAGGGTAAGTCATCATATTTTAAGTTCAATTTTGTGATTTTTGAATAACTTTGTTGAACGCCGTCAATGTGTCTATGAGGTTTTACGGCGAATCTTAACGCGTAAATAAACATCAAGTCATTTTCAGTTAGCTGCACTATGTTAAGTCATCAATCTATTTACGAGTTTGTTTTAAAACAATTTCATTTTTGGCTATATTAAATCAATGATTAGAGGAATATTATGTCGTAATGGATATAGTAATAAACAAAGTGAATGTATTGATCTCATTTCCTTCATTATTTCCATAGAGCAGAATTTAACAAGTGAAAAAGAAATTAATTTCAAAGATAATTTTTCATCGCTCAACTTTGACATGAAACGCACTTTGAAAGTTGTTCAAAGAAATGTAACATTAAAGACTCAAATTGCATTAATAAAAGGGCAAATAAAGACACTGAAAAAATATCACAAAAATCTACAAACACAAAAAAAGCACCTTCAAGCATTTAAGATTGCGCTTCATTCCAAAATCAACAAGACACATGTACAAACGTACAAATTAGTAAAATTGCAAAAACAAATTAAGAAAATTGAAGTTAAAATGATTAATTTGTCATTACAAATGAAAACAATCGATGTGAAAGTAGCAACAATTCAAGCACAGCTAAAAACTAGAAAAACAACTGAAAACTCTTTACAAAGAAAATAAAAACTCACAGGAAAATCACTAAGAGGTAAGAATGATTTTGAGATAACAAGAGTGACATTTAACAACATATTATTTCATGGCAGAACTCTTTTATATTACCAGGGAAAGACTGTGCAGATCTTTACAAAAAGGTGAAAAAAGAACGGAGTTTATCAAATTAATCCTGATGGTCAGGGTTACTTTAAGGTTTTCTGTGATATGAAATCATCTAGTGGAGGTTGGACTGTGTTTCATTGACGTCAAGATGGAAGTGTAAACTTCTATCGAGGTTGGAAAGACTATAAACAAGGTTTTGGCGATCTGAAAGGCGAATTCTGGCTTGGATTGGATAAAATATACCGACTAACATCTGCAAGGAGAAATAAACTTCGTGTAGACCTGGGAGACTGGTCAGGAAACAAAAGATATGCTGAATATGATTATTTTGCTGTAAAGAATGAAAATAAAAATATCAATTAAGCATTGGTAAATATTCTGGTAAGTCAATAGGCAAATAAAAACAATCAAAGCACAAAGTTCAAATATTATATAGAATAAAGATTATATTAACATTAAATTAAAACGATTTGGATACGTTCGATTCTTTGTCTACAAAGATGAATAATCATTGATTACTCATCTAGACGTATAAAGCGTCTTGTGCTCGTCTTTACACTGAAGACGCATAACCAGACGAAAAAATTTTGCCCAAGTTCGTTCAGACGCATTATGCGTGTCTCGTATAAAAACGGCCAATGACAAGCTCGCGCCTGAATATCATGTAGGCAATTAAACACGACTAAATTGTAGATTGACGAAGTCCTTATTATAGTAAGCCTCAGGTAATCAATTGTAAATGCAAGTGTCAGTGCCTAAATGATATATACATTAAACTTGTTCTTGTGTTAATGCAAGTTCAAAAGAATTCTATAACTGCATTAAATGCGATTTTTGAAAGGTATTACTTTTCTTAGGAAATGCTGGAGATTCATTATCTTATCATAAAAGCATGGCGTTTTCAACAAAAGATTCAGATAATGATAATCGTTTTGGAAATTGTGCCACAACCTTCAATGGTGCTTGGTGGTATAAGAGTTGTTATGTTTCCAACCTGAATGGACACTACTATAGTGGCAACCAAAACAATGTCAAAGGTGTGACTTGGCAACGATGGAAAGTTAATAAATCCTTAAAGTTCACTGAGATGAAAATAAAACCATAAAGAATTTCCAAAGACTGTGATGTTATAAATTTGATCATTATTTCTAATGAAACTTTCAACATATAGTAAAAACATTTTAGCTTTTATTTCTTTTAAAAGAACCTTTATAATCATTATCATTTAAAAAAGCATTGAAAAATTGTTAAAAATGCTATGGTGAAATAATATTTTCCCTAAAAATTAGAGCTGATTTAGGTAATTATATGATTCTAATGTTACGTCTTCACTCATTTCTTTAATGATATGCTGCGCTGTAAGTAGCTAATTCTATCTTTTCGACACGTTCCACGCAATCTTGGTGTATCATGCATTTCATGCAATTATCCTACATCATTATTCACTATGTAAGCAATGTCACTTTTGATTGGTAAACTACCTGCAAATAATTCTAGATATCTGTAGGTATGACGTCTATTTACATATAACAGTTTGTCATTAAAAGCCGGTTTTGAAAAAAATTCAAATCATCACCCGTGTCGCATGTTCTCAATCGTCTAAAGCAAGACTTCTCAAATTGAGAACGTCGCATGTATGTGATGTAGGAGATCCTCTAAGCGTTCTTGTTGACGCCATATTTAATTTATATATGCACCAATTTATATATCATCAACACACGACATGCACACGACACACGTGTACCATATCTAGATGGCGGCAACTGGAATACAGTATGAAGTATTAATTGACTTGCAAAAAGCTATCTTGAAGTCTTATTACGATCAGGGAATGAATACAACGGCAAAGGAGAAACATGAAACAATACAAAAGGCAGCTGATGAGGCAGGGACTACATTCGAAAAAGTTAAAGCGAGTGAGTATTTCTACCTACTTTTTACTTGGAAGGGCAGGCTACTGCAGTACTCTCAGAATTGTGCGCACTAAAATGTCGTATCCAAATCTGTGACCAAAACCTATTTCTAGTTTGAAGTATTAGCATACATATATTTTTGTTAAAGGTATTGTTGCCAATGAAGTGCCAGGCGGGAAGCGGATTCTCAATATAAATATTAGAGCCCAACAAATAATTTTAAAAATCGTCATAAACAATTTGGTTTTATGAACGGTACGGAAATTTGTCATAATGCAGTAAATGTAGTATTTGCCTAACATTTCCTATATAGGTGGAGGTTTGCACGTAAATATTTCTCAAGATAGTTTCTGACTTTTCTTAATACCTTATATGACAGATTAATAAAACACACTCAAGATCCTTTGCATGGTTACTACTGCGGATGGGATTTACTTTATAGTGATTTGATTCTATAAAATTTAAACACAAAATCCTTCTTGTAAACTTATAAGAAATCTTCGCAAAGTGTTACGTTGCTTTTACGTTTGTTCACAATGATAGTTCTCATTATGTACAAGTTTGATACATACGCATAAGACATTATTGCTGACTTACATCTGTTCTGAACAAATCCACATGGAAAGAACTTAGTGCAAAAGATCATGCATTTACACAAATGTTTGTAAAGAAATAACGCACTCTTTCTGCAAAAAGTTGATGAAGTGGTGGTGCACATTTCTAACATTTTTCGATGTAGAATGTTCCTTATAAGATATGGTATTTTAAAATTACAAATGGTGTTTAGGATACAATACCACGGTACGACAATACAACAAAGAAAAAGCCAAATTCAGTCACGTGATGTAAATCTAACGGTAAACAACACTATTTAACTGTTCATCTACTTACGAGATAACCAAAATTGATCGAGGATTTAAAACTTTGAAGAATTGAAAACATCGCCCAAAAAAAATAAGAAAGAAGAGACAATCTATAGAAGAAAAGGAAAACAAAGCTGAATGATGTTATTACAAAAAAAATTTAAAACATACGTAAAATTAAAACATTTATTCGCAGAAAGACAAAACCGACACCAATATGTAAGCACTTGCGTACAATGGCTAAAAGAGTACACGAATAGGCAATGTAATAAAAAAGACAATTGCTTTCAAAAGTTATGTATCAATTGCATGAGTTATAACTTGACAAGCCCTATGTATACTTAAAACTGACCTAAATGATGTCAGTAAACTCTAAACTGACTTAACTGAACCTTAAATAAACGAGAACTACGTCAGTGAATCAGTCAAGACATACGTATCCATAGAAACCAAAAAAAATATTATAAAAAATTATCTAGCGGTATATTAATATAAGAGGACGATTGTTATAAAATTTACCTGTCAGCTTCGTCAATAAGTTTTTCAATCTCGTCTAACGTGATTTCATTCGTTTCATTATAAGCTTGTAAATACGTACGGAAGAAAAATGCCTAAAATATCGAAGAGTTTAGGTGATATAAAAGCAACAAGCCTTCGGGACGATTTCAAGGCCGATAAAAAGCAGCTATTGTGTAAATTTTTATAAGATTGTTAAAAACACAAATATTTGCGTGATTTTCGACCTGGAATACATAATACCTCCGGCAGCTAAACACCGAGGAAAAACTATAAGGCAAAACACCGAGGGAAAAAGCTATACGGCAAAATACCGAGGGAAAAAGCTATACGGCAAAACACCGAGGGAAAAAACTATACGGTAAAACACCGAGGGAAAAAGCTATACGGTAAAACACCGAGGGAAAAGCTATACGGTAAAACACCGAGGGAAAAAGCTATACGGTAAAACACCGAGGGAAAAAGCTATACGGCAAAATACCGAGGGAAAAGCTATACGGCAAAACACCGAGGGAAAAGCTATACGGTAAAACACCGAGGGAAAAGCTATACAAAACACCGAGGGAAAAAGCTATACGGTAAAACACCGAGGGAAAAAGCTATATGGCAAACGCTGTATAAACGCTATAATATATTTTTGCACTCAAACGTTGTTAAAAAATCCTGTACATCTTCATCATTAACTGCAAGAGAATGAGAAAGTACATTTTCAACCACACTAGACTCAGTGGTCGAAATGTACTTCATAAAAGAACTCACGTACATATCTTCTGAGACATAATCTTCGCCAAAATGACAGGAGCACAAGAAAACACGAGAAATTTTGATTCAAAAATAGCGCTCTTAAATGTAACCTTTCACATGAATTCTAGCAATCGATTGCCACTTCTCCCGCGAAACGTCATGACGAATCACTGGACTCGTTCATCCTCGCCTAACATGAAACTATTTCATTCCAAAACAGAGAAAATGTATCCCTGACAACGCCGACTGCTTCGCCCTTTTCCTCAACACCTCTGGAATCAATCATCTGGACATCCACACACTTCTTTAAAATGTCATCTTTTTCAAAATAGTGCAACAAGTCAGCTTTCACATTACAACGATGAATAAGCAACACTTCTCGCTCCATAACCTCATTTGCCATACTTTCTGGGACAAAAGTAGCCCTTCAGAACTTTTACCTGTAATGTACAACACTTAATATAGTAAAGATGGGTGAAAAGCCACAACATTTCTGACTGTTCTATTTTCAAATTCGATTCATCCACTTTCTTTGAATGAATTCCAATGGTATTTTGCACCATCATCACAATACCCACTCATCATTTCAAGAAATATTAGTTGAACATCAAATTAGTGGATATTTTTCTTCTATACTTTGTAACTAGAACATATTTTTCATAAAAAGACTGACAAGAACAAGTAGACTATATAGTACTCACAAACCTTGGGAAGTATTCATCTCAAAAGCATCAAAATTTTGGAGGTTCTCTAGTGCATGTGGTGTTAAAGTTGCATCATCAATAGATGACAGTCCAACCAAAGTTGTGGAATGTGATTCTTTTCCAAGCTGTGGTTCTGTGTACAATGATTTCATTTTGAGTCTTTGTTAGTCTGATTTCTTCCAAATCTAATTGTTCTTCCACAACATCATCAACTATTTCATTAGCAACTACAAAACAAATATTTGTATTTTTATCAAATATGTAACTTATTTAGATAAAGATTGTTGCATAACACACTTTTGCTGATTTCCTTATGCACTCATATTGGAATTCTCAAGTATAACATCAGAATGAATGTTGTCTTTACAGTATTAATGTGTAATATTTAATATTAGCTCCTTATAAAGTAAGTGTTTAATTTTATTTGTATCATGATAGTTTCATAAAATTAACCAAATGGTGCAAAATTATTATATACTTGACCTTATAGAATTACTTTGATTACTAAATGCTCATAATTAGGTGTTAATCAACATTAATAAATTGCCTACACATTAACAAAGTGTTTTTAAGAATTAATAGAAAACCTCCTCACTTTCATAATCCAAAGTCTTGCAAAGATACAAATTGACACTACTGCATGGCCTGCCAAGGGACTCCTTGTACTTTTCTACAGAAAATATTTCTGTTGTGCCTGGTAAATATAAAACTCCATATCTGGGTACAACAAAACCCATTTGGAACTTTCATCATGGAGTTGCTTATTGTGAGCCAGTTGCTTCTCCACCATAGCAGGTTTTATGACAACATGAGAATCACATTTTTTTTACATCAATAGGAAAAAGTTAGCCTTGCTTAATTGTCAAATGATCCCCATCCAGCTCAATAATTCCAATGTTTATCTGGGGTGGAAAAAATATCCAGTTACAAGGTGTTCATGACCTGCCATCACAAAATGGTTGATGAAGAATGAAAAATAATTAGACGTTTTAATGGAAAATACTATTCCATCCTTCTCCATGAAAACCTGAGCCTGATTTTTAAAGCATGCAACAAAAGTATTATTGTGTTGATTGGAATGACTGCAAAAGAAAAAACAAATTTCGTATAGCAGCATTTTATATTTCAGCTTAAATAGGTGGGAATTACATAACTAATATCTACATAAAAACAAGCATTGAATATAATTATTCACTACCATCACCCATCCTTCAAATAATTATTGACATGACCTATTTGCAGAGGTAGTAATAATCACAAACCTTGACAGTCTCATTCTTCCTCCTCTTTTTCGTGGAGGCAAAACGATCTTGACGCTTCCTTGTCTCAACAGTGGCAAATGAAATATCTGCCAAATACTCTTTAAAAGTCAAAGGTTTTGTGGCACGAGGATCAGTAGAAGGCCCAGCTGATGTTGATGGATCACTATTCCGCAAGGTCTTTGACTCGTCAGACTTTCGAAGATCCATCCCACAGTTAGCACAAAAATTACCCCTTGTATTTAGTGAACTCTGCATACTGTACAAAACATGATGTTCAAGTTCACATTACCAACAGCCGGGAAAGATAATACGAACATATACATGAACGCTAAATGTAATAAATACTTCACGAATGTTTTTGTATTTATCTTACTTTCTCGAAATAAAACGAAAATATAAGAATATGACAAAATTCTGCACTTTGGCAACTTTGTAAATTCAGAACACATTTGGCTGGCAAATTAACCGGATATGAATTTTGCATATTAAAATTTGTGTTCGTGTACAGAGTCCTTAAGTGGTGACGTCACGTTTCAATGGTGTTAAAAATCTCAGTTCCAAACAAGCGCCCATTCGATTCAAAATGGAGACATTATCCATCGCTTCGCTTTTTTCTTTCTTCTCAGAAGAAAAGAAATATGTAAAAAAGGGGGAAAACCACTTTAAGTCAGATCACATTGAAGCATTTACTTACCAGCAGAGTGTTTTACGAGGAGAAGTACACGCAAGAATGAAACAAAAGGTTTATAAAGTGACGGTGAATGTCAAATGTCAAGATTAAGTTTTAGACTGTTTTTGTTGCCCAAATGAACACGAGGGCGTGATTTTCTCTGGTAGTGAAATGAAAAAAGGCTTGTTAATAAACGATTTGTTTTAAAAATAATGATACTCGTCGGTTTTCAGTCCTCAAATTGACCTACCACTACTAGTTTGGTGTGAGGGAGTTGGGGTAACGGGCTATACACATATTTGCATTTTTATTAATATACACAAGGATAACATGGTATTTAAAAGACATGGAAAAATGGTACATCATTTAATGTTGTTTTCTTGGGGGGGAGGGAAACTCCCTTATAAAAGTGACGGGATGCTAATGGGAAATGTTCAGAAAGACTCCTTAAGGGTAACTGTGGGCAGTACTTGCTTTTATTTTTATCTCCAAAAAGACATCCATTGTAAAACATATGTCAAAACTTTTTTTAACTTCTGTTCTCCTAAACATGATAAAAGAATTCTCGCAGTGATGTAATTTGACACCCTATGTACACCCAGGCTGTACCAGATGATAAATATTGTAATTCCTAGGAGGTAAAATCATCCCTTTACTGTTATATTAGAATGCTACCCTCTAGCTGTATTTTCTTCTAAGTAAGCCTCAGTCTACAAATTATTTTATTTCTATTTGAACAACAATAATTATTAAAAAACTGTCCAATGTAGTCTTCAAGCATAAAACTACTCAAAAACCATATCTTCGCATCCCTCTTTGATGAAAGGAAATTGCAAATTTACAAGTGCCGCCCATAACTGAAACAAAATGTCAGCATAGCAGCACAAATACGAAGGAATGATGCCTAAGTCTTTCAGCCTAGCATTGGCTCTTTTGACATGAATCCGTGCTTTAGCTATAGCGTTTGTTTTCTTGACCTCACTCTCTGTACAACATCCTGGATAAGGAAACCCTTGTCCGCCAGAATCATATCTCCAGCTGTCAAGTGATTAAGGAGTCCAGACTGTTGCACAATGGCCTTGTCTGAAATAGAACCTGGATACAGCCGACTGACATTAGTAATGACTCCATTTGGTGCAACACCAACTATTACCTTAAAGGAATTCATTCCTCTGTATGATGAATAAGTGGCATTTTGCTGACTCATCAATCCCAGTGCAGCAACCTCAATATCTGTGCAGTCTATAACAATCCGACAGGATTCAAATTGCCTGAAAGAGGAGGGTGCAGAGATCTTGTTTTTTTCCAGGGATGAAATCGACGTCATTAGGTCATCAAACAAAATTTCATGCAAAACATGAGTGAATGCTATCACAATGATAGAAATTGTAGCCACACTACAATGAAACAATTGGGCTAGTTGTAGCTGTGTGTAGTTCTGTCGTACTTTCATTAAAGTGATAAAAATTTGATCCTCAAAATTGATGGATTATACCTTCCAAAACACTAAGATTTAAGGTTTTGGCTACAGAAAATACAAAGCGACCGTTAAAAAGACAACTAGCTGAAGCTTCTATAATTCAGTATTCGATGATTCTCCCTCATGTCCTGACGTCAACTCTTCACCTGAATAGAGTCCGTAAATCTCACTTAAAATCACGTAATTCATCAAATTTTCACAAATTAAGGAATTCATTTTGAATATCAGTCCATACCTTATGAGTCAAACCCATCTCTTGTACTCGTCGTTCTGCTTTGTAGCGCTTGGAAAAGAGAAGAACTTGCAAGTGTTGCCCTCCGACGAATGGCCACATGTAGGAGCAAAACAGTAAACCATTTTGCCCGTTTGACCCGCGTCCTTTACACTTCTTCAACAAAAGTTGATCCTTTGGATGACCCTTTAACCTTTCCTGTTTTTTTTTTATTGTCTTTTGTGGGATTACACTGGATAATTAAAGCTTTAGACATTCAAAACAAAGGAAGCTTGTCCAAAGCGCTCGCATAAGATATTTTGCTTAGAACTGCATTTTTTAGCGCCATGCCAACGAGACGTCACACTTAAGGACTCCATTTGAAATTGTGTTTGCATATTATAATTTTCTTTGTATGTTTGAATTTGTGTTTGTGTATTGCACCTCTGGGCCAACGCAAATTACTGCTAGTAATACAGTATTCTGAGATAATGATGCGTAAAATGAAAGAAATGCCTTTACGTCAAACTTACGAAATTTGATTGCGTATGGTGATTGTTTTGCTGAACTGCTTTTGATATAAGGTTCAATCAACTGACTCAAGTAGAGAACCATTTTTGGAACAAATAACATTGTAAAGTTCGTGCTAATGGAGTTTCAATAGTTTTCTTAACTATATATAAACTATATACTTAGTTAAATTGAGTGCTGAGACAGAATATCAAAAGAAGGATACATATCACTTGTAGACAGGAATACAGTTTGGTTGAGTTTTAGGCATAAAAATTTATATAATCTGTAAATTTGTTATGTTTAATACAACAAAATATCAAATAAGTAAGCAACAGGATGTGCAATCAACTCATTCATTATCTCCACTCTATAGATAAAAGTATGGGCTGCAACGATGCCTTCAATTAAGAAGGCGCTAGAATTCTCGCCCCAATACAGTACATCCTGTCAAAAGGCCCGATAATTTATATCGTTACATCAATCTCCTCGTAAGGAACAAAACAAGGTTATAATTTGAAGGACCTAAGAGTAGTTTTCATGAAAATTGGTAATTACATGTAGAACGTTCTTCATAATGTACGTCTTATAGAAGATTTTCTTTTCACTGAGGGTTTGATGTGTCGGTGTCTGGTCGTGCCTGATTGGTTTCTATACTGACATTTGTGGACGTGTCTTGCGTAGAGAATTTAACAGCAACGATTGCTCATTTGGGTCTTCGGACTCTGATTGTTCATTTTCTTCCTCAGTACAATCTGTATCAATCTTTCCCTTTCTTTAGTAAACGTCAGATGTCTTTTGTTCCGTCTGCATATTTAGCCTTCCGAAATAACTTGGTACGACGTGGGTGCAAACTTCTGGATGCACACTTCTTTCCTTCATGTCCTGCACGTCTGGTCTGGTCGTATAAGTACTGTATCTCCTAGGTTGAGATCTATTAATGGCTTGCTGCCATGGTTGTAATATTTCGTTTGTTTTTTCTTTTGTTTGTCAACAATTGCTTGACTCGATGGGTTAATTTTGGCTTCAATAGTTTTGTTGCCGTAGGGAGAAGCGTTTTTGTTCACATAGCCTACTATATATGGACGCGGATAAATAGTCCAGTTTAGTTTACATATCAGTGGCCTAATTATCCTCTACCAAAAGCATAGTAAATAAAACAACATTACCACACCGAATCAAATTTATTAATGTTAAAGAAAGGTAATCACGTTGCTGAAACAGTTTATCGTTCTCTTAGTGGATTAAAGTCATCTCCGATTCGTTAGGAATGAAATGAGTAATTTAGAGCAAAAATCTTCAGCGTCGTTCTGGCTGACGAAACCGCGCTAAAAAGAAAAGCAATGATGCGCATGCGTATTAATTTTATATTGCAATACCCAGCCATTGTACCCAGCATGCTCGATCTGCAATCATCATAAACGTTGTGAATATCAGTGGGACTAGTGTAGAAGATTCTGCAAGAACGTAACATCATGCAGCTGAGGAAAATATCTCAGTTTTAAAGAAGAAGGATTTTCAATCACTTTCAAAATACAAATTCTTATTAAACGTCTAGCAAAATTGTCGTGTGGCTTACAAAGGCCAAGAGAATCGATACAATACTTGCATATTCAACCAATTCAAGTTAGATCATTGATGTCAGGTTCTCTAAAAGATCACGTTTTAAATAAGGCATGAACGTACATACATAAAGAAAAACACATGATGTAGACTAGTGAGAAATTGACCATTTTAAAAAATATACAACAACTGAAATCATTTCAACTAATATCTTCTAACGTATATATTTATAAATGCCACGTTTGTATTTTACGTTTCCTTTGAAAATAAAGCATGAATTAATTATCAATTTCAATAGCTTGCTTTTCAATAAATTGTTTTAAGAATGGTAAACGGCGAAATACAGCTGTAATAAATTTTACTGCATCAAAAATATGTACACAAAATATAGCTATATTTGAAAATGATCCGTATCGAGTGCCACGTTTTAAAGGTTTCTTTGTAAGTCGTGTATGAATAAATTACTTAATTCAATTGAGTGCTGAGACTGAATGTGAAAACAAGAATACATATCACTTGTAGACAGGAATACAGTTGGGTTGAATTTTATGCATAGAAATTTATATAATTTGTAAATTTGTTATGTTTATACAACAAAATATGAAATAAGTAAACAACAGGATGTGTAATCAACTACAAATTTGACACATACAATGCAATATTTTCAGTTTAAATTTGTAGACAAACTGTTGTGTCTGTTGTTCCTTATAAATAGTAAAATTGATTTTCATACTAAAGACAACAGAAATTTTTTCGTGCTAGTTGATTTACATCAAGGTTTGACTATATACAATAAAATGGTGGCGCAAAATTCGTCATTTAAACTTCGCATAGTCAAGCAGAACTTGTAATAGTGCAAATTCATTGGACGAAACTTCGAGCATAAAAAGACTACTGTCTAAATCTCAAATAATTAAACTCTTTTATTATCAGCTGAAACCATCCTATTCTTCATGAATACTCAACATGAAATTACGTGCATGCATCATCGATAGTTGGCAATAAATTATTGAAATACAGTCGACCCAATACATAAATAGAGCTTTTGTGATCTTATCCTCACTCCAAGCTTGTGGATATCAATCACGTATCACAAAATGGCGAAATATATTTTTGCGTTGGTCGTAATTTTTTATATTGGTGTTATTATTGAAGGGTAAGTCATCATATTTTAAGTTCAATTTTGTGATTTTTGAATAACTTTGTTGAACGCCGTCAATGTGTCTATGAGGTTTTACGGCGAATCTTAACGCGTAAATAAACATCAAGTCATTTTCAGTTAGCTGCACTATGTTAAGTCATCAATCTATTTTCGAGTTTGTTTTAAAACAATTTCATTTTTTGGCTATATTAAATCAATGATTGGAGGAATATTATGTCGTAATGGATATAGTAATAAACAAAGTGAATGTATTGATATCATTTCCTTCATTATTTCCATAGAGCGAATTTAACAAGTGAAAAAGAAATTAATTTCAAAGATAATTTTTCATCGCTCAACTTTGACATGAAACGCACTTTGAAAGTTGTTCAAAGAAATGTAACATTAAAGACTCAAATTGCATTAATAAAAGGGCAAATAAAGACACTGAAAAATATCACAAAATCTACAAACACAAAAAGCACCTTCAAGCATTTAAGATTGCGCTTCATTCCAAAATCAACAAGACACATGTACAAACGTACAAATTAGTAAAATTGCAAAACAAATTAAGAACATTGAAGTTAAAATGATTAATTTGTCATTACAAATGAAAACAATCGATGTGAAAGTAGCAACAATTCAAGCACAGCTAAAAAAACTAGAAAAACAACTGAAAACTCTTTACAAAGAAAATAAAAAACTCACAGGAAAATCACTAAGAGGTAAGAATGATTTTGAGATAACAAGAGTGACATTTAACAACATATTATTTCATGGCAGAACTCTTTTTTATATTACCAGGGAAAGACTGCGCAGATCTGTACAAAAAAGGTGCAAAAAAGAACGGAGTTTATCAAATTAATCCTGATGGTCAGGGTCACTTTAAGGTTTTCTGTGATATGAAAACATCTGGTGGAGGTTGGACTGTGTTTCAACGACGTCAAGATGGAAGTGTAAACTTTTATCGAGGTTGGAAAGACTATAAACACGGTTTTGGTGATCTTACTTCTGAATTCTGGCTTGGATTGGATAAAATATACCGACTAACATCTGCAAGAAGAAATAAACTTCGTGTAGACCTGAGAGACTGGTCAGGAAACAAAAGATATGCTGAATATGATTATTTTGCTGTAAAGAATGAAAATAAAAAATATCAATTAAGCATTGGTAAATATTCTGGTAAGTCAATAGGCAAATAAAAACAATCAAAGCACAAAGTTCAAATATTATATAGAATAAAGATTATATTAACATTAAATTAAAACGATTTGGATACGTTCGATTCTTCGTCTACAAAGATGAATAATCATTGATTACTCATCTAGACGTATAAAGCGTCTTGTGCTCGTCTTTACACTGAAGACGCATAACCAGACGAAAAAAATTTCTTGCCCAAGTTCGTTCAGACGCATTATGCGTGTCTCGTATAAAAACGGCCAATGACAAGCTCGCGCCTGAATATCATGTAGCTAATAAAACACGACTAAATTTTTTGGTACATAAGAGAGAATCTCTACTGTGACTACCATTGTCAAATGAAGATTGACTGAAGTTCTTTTTATATCTAAGCCTTTGGCAATCAATTGTAAATGCAAGTGTCAATGCCTAAATGTTATTTACATTAAACTTGTTCTTGTGTTAATGCAAGTTCAAAAGAATTCTATAACTGTATTAAATGCGATTTTTGAAAGGTATTACTTTCTTAGGAAATGCTGGAGATTCATTATCTTATCATAAAAACATGGCGTTTTCAACAAAAGATTCAGATAATGATAACAATCGTTTTGGAAATTGTGCCACAACCTTCAATGGTGCTTGGTGGTATAAGAGTTGTTATATTTCCAACCTGAATGGACACTACTATAGTGGCAACCAAAACCATTCCAAAGGTGTGACTTGGCAACGATGGAAAGTTAATAAATCCTTAAAGTTCACTGAGATGAAAATAAAACCATAAAGAATTTCCAAAGACTGTGATGTTATAAATTTGATCATTATTTCTAATGAAACTTTCAACATATAATAAAAACATTTTAGCTTTTATGTCTTCAAAAAGAACCTTAATAATCATTATCATTTAAAAAAGCATTGAAAAATTGTTAAAATGCTATGGTGAAATAATATTTTCCCTAAAAATTAGAGCTGATTTAGGTAATTATATGATTCTAATGTTACGTCTCACTCATTTCTTTAATGATATGCTGCGCTGTAAGTAGCTAATTCTATCTTTCGACACGTTCCACGCAATCTTGGTGTATCATGCATTTCATGCAATTATCCTACATCATTATTTAATATGTAAGCAATATCACTTTTGATTGGTAAACTACCTGCAAATAATTCTAGATATCTGTAGGTAAGACGTCTATTTACAAATAACAGTTTGTCATTAAAAGCCGGTTTTGAAAAAAATTCAAATCATCACCCGTGTCGCATGTTCTCACTCGTCTGAAGCAAGACTTCTCAAATTGAGAACGTCGCATGTATGTGATGTAGGAGATCCTCTAAGCGTTCTCATTGACGCCATCTTTGATTTATATATGCTTCAATCCATATATCATCAACACACGACATGCACACGACACACGTGTACCTTATCAATATGGCGGCAACTGGAATACAGTATGAAGTATTAATTGACTTGCAAAAAGCTATCTTGAAGTCTTATTACGATCAGGGAATGAATACAACGGCAAAGGAGAAACATGAAACAATACAAAAAGCAGCTGATGAGACAAGAACTACATTTGAAAAAGTTAAAGTGAGTGAGTATTTCTATCTACTTTTTACTTGGAAGGGCAGGCTACTGCAGTACTCTCAAAATTGTGCGCATAAAAATATCGTAATCCAAATCTGTGACCAAAACCTATTTCTAGTTTGAAGTATTAGCATACATATATTTTTGTTAAAGGTATTGTTGCCAATGAAGTGCCAGGCGGGGAGCGGATTCTCAATATAAATATTAGAGCCCAACAAATAATTTTAAAAATCGTCATAAACAATTTGGTTTTATGAAAGGTACTGAAATTTCTCATAATGCAGTAAATGTAATATTTGCCTAACATTTCCTATATAGGTGGAGGTTTGCACGTAAATATTTCTCCAGATATTTTCTGACGCTTCTTAATACCTTATATGACAGATTAAGAAAACACACTCAAGTTCCTTACCATGGTTACTACTGCGGATGGGATTTACTTTATAGTGATTTGATTCTATAAAATTTAAACACAAAATCCTTCTTGTAAACTTATAAGAAATCTTCGCAAAGTGTTACGTTGCTTTTACGTTTGTTCACAATGATAGTGCTCATTATGTACAAGTTTGATACATACGCATAAGACATTATTGTTGACTAACATCTGTTCTAAACAAATCCACATGGAAAGAACTTAGTGCAAAAGACCATGCATTTACACAAATGTTTGTAAAGAAATAACGCACACTATATGCAAAAAGTTGATGAAGTGGTGGTGCACATTTCTAAGATTGTTCGATGTAGAATGTTCCTTATAAGATATGGTATTTTAAAAATAGCAAATAGTGTTTAGGATACAATACCACGGTACGACAATACAACAAAGAAAAAGACAAATTAAGTCACGTGATGTAAATCTAACGGCAAACAACACTATTTAAATATTCATCTACTTACGAGATAACCAAAATTGATCGAGGATTTATAACTTTGAAGAATTGAAAACATTGCCCAAAAGAAATGAGAAAGAAGAGACAATCTATAGAAGAAAAAGAAAACAAAGCTGAATGATGTTTCAGGAATGTTTTAAAACATGAGTAAAATTAAAACATTTATTCGCAGAAAGACAAAACCGATACCAATATGTAAGCATTTGCGTACAATGGCTAAATAAATACACGAATAGGCGATGTGATAAAAGAGAAATGCTTTCAAAAGTTGTGTATTAATTGCATCAGTTATAACTTGACAAGCCCTAAATGATGTCAGTAAACCCTAAACTGACTTAACTGAACCTTGAATAAACGAGAACTACGTCATGGAAACCTAAAAATGAATTTTAAAAAATTATCTTGCGGTATATTAATATAAGAGGATGATTGTTATAAAATTTACCTGTCAGCTTTGTCAATAACTTTTTCAATCTCGTCTAACGTGATTTCATTCGTTTCATTATAAGCTTGTAAATACGTACGGACGAAAAATACCTGAAATATCGAAGAGTTTAGGTGATATAAAAACAGCAAACCTTAGGGACGATTTCGAGACCGATAACAAAGCAGCTTTTGTGCAAATTTTTATATGATTGTTAAAAACACAAATATTTGCGTGATTTTCGCCCTGGAATACATAATACCTCCGGCAGCAAAACACCGAGGGAAAAACATATATACGGCAAAACACCGAGGGAAACCATATATACGGCAAAACACCGAGGGAAAACATATATACGGCAAAACACCGAGGGAAAATCATATATACGGCAAAACACCGAGGGAAAAACATATATACGGCAAAACACCGAGGAAAAATCATATATACGGAAAAACACCGAGGGAAAATCATATATGGCAAAACACCGAGGGAAAATATACGGCAAAACACCGAGGGAAAAACATATATACGCAAAACACCGAGGGAAAACATATATGGCAAAACACCGAGGGAAAATGCATATGGCAAAAAACACCGAGGGAAAACATATATGGCAAAACACCGAGGAAAATCATATATAAAACACCGAGGGAAAAATATATACGCAAAACACCGAGGGAAATGATAACACGGCAAAACACCAGGGAAACATATACGGGTAAACACCGAGGGGAAAATATATATCGGTAAAACCGAGGAATTATAAACACTGAGGGAAAAGAATGGAGAAAACACCTGAGGGAAAAATATGGTCAAACACCGAGGGGAATCATGACAGGAAACTGGAAAAGAAAGGAATGGAGGGAAATGAGGAGAAGGAATGGAATCCGAGAGAAAAAATGGAAGGAAATAGGAAGGGGGAAATGGAATGGAAGGAAATGGAATGGAACATATAATGTAAGGGAAACAATCGAGGGAAAACATATACGCAGCAACCGAGGAAAAATTACATTCGGCAAAATCATCAATTGAGGAACTGAGACATGGTAAAAATAATTGAGGAAAATCCTGTTATGAGATAATGGCGGAAACAACGAGGGAAAAGATAGACAAAAAATGGAAATATATGGAAATGGAAATGAGAGAAGGAAATGAATGGAAATAAGGAAATAAGATGAATGGAAAATACATGGAAATATAATGGAAACATGGAAGAAAGAGATAATGGCAAAACAACGAGGGAAAAACATATATAATGAAAATGACTGAGAAAGAGGAAATGGAAGGAAATGGAAATGATGGATGGAATGGAAATGGAAATGAAATGGAATCAATGGATGGAAATGAGGATGGAATGGAAATGGAGGATGGAAATGGAAATGGATGGAAATCACCGAGGAAACATGACGGCAAAAACGAGGGAAAAACATATATACGGAAAAAGAATCGAGGAAAAAACATACATAATGGCAAAACCGAGGGAAAATCATAATGGCAAAAACACCGAGGAAAACATAATGACAAAACACCGAGGGAAATATATATACTGGTAAAAACACTCGAGGAAAACTTATAATAAGGAAACAACTGGAAATATATAATGGAAAAACACCATGGAAACAGGAATGGAATGGAAAAAAATGAGAAATGGAAAGATGAATATGGAAATGGAAAGAGGAAATCATGGAGAAAATGACCGAGGAAAATGAGGATGAAATGGAAATGAGGAACAGGAAATGGAAATGGAAGAAATGGAAGGAAATGGAAGATGGATGGAATGGAAATGGAATGGAAGGAATTAATGGAATGGAATGGATGGAAATGGGGATACAATGGAAATAGGAAGGAATGGAAATGATGGATGGAAATGGAAATGGAAAAACAACTGAGTGGAAAAAACATATATACGGCAAAACATGAGGGAAAAAAACATACTTGGCAAACAACGAGGGAAAAATATATACGGCAAAACAACGAGGAAAAACATATATACGGCAAAAAACGAGGAAAAACATATATTAGCAAAATAACGAGGGAAAAAATATACGGAAAAACAACGAGGAAAAACATACTAGGTGCCAAAAATATCCACTAAATATCGAATGCATATTTTAGTTTTGAACCATATCACCACTCTGTCACAACAATGTTAGGTTTTCGAAAAAGCAATGTCATGTAGTACATGGTATGTCCTCCTTAGCTTTCAAAATGGCTTCAACTCTTTTTGGCATAGATTTAACAAGATTTTGAAGTGTAGATGGTTCAATATTATGCCAACTTGTAGAGATTACATCCCATTGCCTGTCCTGGCCTGTTACTTCATGTTTCACTTTTTCTCTTTTTAACTCATCCCATAAGTGTTCAATTGGATTAACATCGGGCGATTGAAGCGGAAATGCCATGAGCTTCAATTCACCTTGACGTTCTTTGTTCCTTAAATAATTTGTGCGCAAGTTGGAGTTGTGTTTCGGATCGTTATCCTGAAGTAAGGTAAATCCCTTCCCGCATAACCTTTTGCCAGATGGTACAGCATGCCTTTGGAGAATAGAATGGTATTGCTTTTTGTCAAGATTGCCTTTTATTCTGTAAAGACTCCCAACACCATTAAAGCTGAAACAGCCCCAGACTTGAATGTTTCCACCCACATGCTTCACGGTGGACTTGAGGCACTGACTTGACAATCTTTCACCACATCTTCGTCTCACATAAACACGGCGATTATTTCCATGTATTTCAAACTTTGATTCATCAGTAAAAAGTACTTTTTCCAATTGTCTACGCTGTAATGCTTGTATTTTTTGGCCCATAAGAATCTCTTCCGCTTATTTATCGGGCGAAGCAACGGCTTGGAAGCTGCAACTCTTCACGTTCAGACCACTTGCAGCCAATCTCCTTCTTACTGTTGTTTTGCTGATTGCTTTCTCTCGGGTGGCGTTAATTGACGATTGAATGTTGCTAGCAGTTGCTCGTCTGTTGCGCAAAGAACTTAGCTTTATGAACTGATCTTCTTTTTTTGTTGTTACACGTGGTCTCCCAGGTTTTGGTAAGCTGGAATAACATTGCGTCTTTTTAAATCTTCCCACGGTTGCACAGCTCTTTTGG